TGCTATACGTTTTAATAAGATTGGCATCCAAAGCCACTATAAACGGTTTGTAGTATTAATATATACAATATCAAAATTATGAAATCAGGGAAATTGGGCAGGAAAACAAATGTTACTAGTGACAGAAGATGTAAAGACTTGAGAATGACTGAAATTATATGCATGGAAGTTAAACACGTTTCTTAATCTTTACTTACTATTAGTATCTTTATGATGAGCATGTGAATTCTTATGCTTATTTTTCTAACCATATGAATAATCCTGTCTTAAATATAAGTACTGTGACAATAGAAATAGCAGTTACTTTTAAGAGAACATATTTCATAGGGATACCAGGAATTTCTTTTCCAGTCATTTCTGTATGAATGTTTCTGTGTTTTTAATTAAAATTTTAAGAAGTTCATCTTTGTGGTAGCATAATGAAATAAAACTCCCTAAATGAGATTCCCTTTTATTCTGTGGTACAGGATACAGCTCTAGAAATAACTGGTTTTAAACCTTGGGAATTTTGTATTCTGGCCAGAAGTTGTAAAGGCAATTAGTTCTTTATTTGAATCAAATATGCACGAATCATATGCCAAAGACAGGGCTCTTTTTTTTTTTTTTTAACCTAATGCAAGTGAAAACATAAAAGCACAGGGAAATGTTTTCTGTTTTTCCTCCTTAACTAAAAGTAGTTTTTGTTTCAGAGGTGTAGACGTAACCGCCATTTTATTTGGTATGGTGTATCTGCCTACTCCAACATAAGAGCTAATCTACTTTTTTTTCATTTCTAATAATGATTCTTAGAAATGTGTTTACATGAATAAATCAACGAAGCAGAACCCTTTAATTCATTGATTGAGGGACCCTGTAATGTCTTCCTGAATTATCTCATGTCCCGGGGCATCGCCATTAGGAAGAAAAGACTTCTGTTTATATAGATGCGCACACAGTGTGTATCTGAGCTCACATAAACAATGATGAGGTCATAGCTTACTCTGGCCTCCTAGGACTCATTATTCTTGCAGGAGCTTTGTTCCCTGGTAGAGAGCGCAAAAGCCAGGCTGAGGCCTGGGGGCTCATGAGAGCCTTGTGTGCTCCTGTGTCATTGTCGAGCTCCAGAGATTCTGCGGGGAAAGTTAGGAATACATTTCTGAAGCTTATAAATAAATGTTGGTATTAAATGACATAAGCAATTTTAAACATATGAACACATTCACTATTTAATTATCCATGGATTTAGAACCAGAATCCATGTGTGTCACAAAAGCCTAACTTTTCACTAATACCTTTAATCTTTTTCCAGTAATCCTAAACAGATTAACGGAGTCCCTTCCTATCTTGCTATTTCTCCTCCCTACATCTGACATTTGAGCTAACGCAGAGCAGAGTGCCAAAAACCAAGGACAGTAATTGAGAGATTGAACAGGCTAAATCTGGTGGGTCTTCTACACAATTGAAAAAGCAGATATTAGCATGTCCCAAAAGAGTACTGTCTGAGCTTGTAAGAGCTAGAAATTCAGGCGAGAACTCCTGGAAGAGTTTCTTTTCTAACCATTCAGTCATTTCTTTCTATTTTCAACTCTCTAAGTTACTGCGTAGAACTGTCTTTACCTTGGTCCATTGTAGAGTTTCCTTGAAAGGCATGGTCACCCAGTGATTGGGACAATGGGCTGTGGGACCTGAGAGCTGGACTATCTGTTCTTGCTCTACCCCTGACTAGCTCTGGAACTCGCTGAGTCACCAGCTACATAGCCTTCAACCTCCTTTGTGCCTCGTTTGCTCTATCTGTGAAGTGGGAAGAGCAGCTGTACCTCTGTCGTAAGGTTGGTAGGAAGACTTATGAGTTGTTATTGTCGGCTGAAATAAAGAGTCTAGGTGATATTAGTGAAGGAGTTTATTCAGTAATCAGCGAGAGGAGTTCGAACCCCAGGAAAACGTTTCAACAGAGCGCTCTGATGGAGCTGCTCGGAGGGGTGTGAGGTTAAGTGCAGCTTATCTCTCTTCCACAAAACAGTGCATGTGCAGGGAAGAGGAAAAGAAAAAGACTTACAGCTAGATTTCATATATGTCAATAAAAAAAGGGATAGAGAACATCTGGGCTTTTCTCTAGATTACACGTTGAAGGTAACATAAACAAGAATTCCTTGGTTATACATCAAACAAGTTCGGAGATGCTGATATCTGTGTGTGAAGGGAGGTAAGAACCAGGGTCCTTAATTATTCCCTCGATCTCTAAGAAATGCAGCTGGGAAATGTGAGAGCAGGTACCCTATATCTTTTCCTGTTGTGGATCTGTCCAGCTGGCGTCTTCGTCATGAGATGTGGGGATGCAAGGTCATTTGACACAGGCTGAAGATGGCCTTCGCAGCTGCTTCATAACAGTGTGGATTTTATTATACTCACATAAAGCCTGTGCAGTTTACTTGTTAGATTTGCCTGTTAGACCAGGAAGAGGGATCCCAAAAATCTGTCCACATTATGCATAAAGCACTTAAAACACGATCTCGTTCATGTAAGTAGTCAGTAAGTTTTGAACTGTTACTGCTTAGAGGGAAGAAAAGGCAGGAGAATGTTGGAGGCGAGGACTGAGTAGAAGAAATGAATGTGTACTGAGTACCTGCTATGGACTAAGCATTATGCTGGGTAACTAACACAGAACATTTTTATCCCCATGTTCTCTATATGAAAGATAATGTTGTCTGAACTGCACAGGTGAGAAAATGCAGGCGTAGATAATTTTGAGACTCTCATTCATTTTAAAATTGATGTTTATGTTAATAATCAGCACATGGGAATTTATGCTGTTTGTAGGAGTAGTGGAAGAAAAAGGGAGACCCAGCTGTTACTTAAGAGAAATTACCTCCCCATTCCGTAATTTAAGATTTAGCTTAATGCAGTAATGCCAAGGCCAGTGTGGAGCCATTACATTCTGATGCTCACACTTGGTTGTGACAATCCTTTAGGATAAGATGCCTTATAGAAACATTCATAGGTGATTATCTGCAAAAACACGAAAAATAGAAGAAGAAAAGAAAGTTATGATGAAAAGTACCCTATGTTTTCATTGAAATACTTTTTCTTTTATGAGCTCTTTAAAAAATTTCTTTTCTTCAAAACAATAAAGCCTTTTCAAGAGAGCAAAATGAAATAGAGCAACTAAGAAAGCACATTAAGCCAGTCAGCTGCACAAGTAAGGGACAGGGACATCAAGGATAATTGCAATTAGTCGCAACCCTTTCTGTTTCCAACCTTGGAAGTATAATTGCAATAGAACTAGAGGGAGTTTTTAGGCTGGTGTTGAACAAGGAGCAAGCATCAGGGGTATGTAATATCCTGATTGTACCATCCTGCATATAAAATATTTGTCACGTTCAACAATAGGCAGCCTTTAGTTTCTGACCTTTTAAAAATTACGTTTTTAAATTAGTGTGTATAAACCTATCATTTTTTAAATATATATGTTATAGATGTAGCTTGTCAGTTGTTCTCTCTCTCTCTACTCTTCTTTCAAGATTTAAAAGACCATTCTCTCATTTGTAGATTCAGCCAGATTTCCTAGCACAAATGAGAATTATAATGATGTACTGCCAAAAGCTACATTGCAAGCTGTGATGTCTACCTTTTCTGAGATTATGGAGAAGGACTTAGCTTCTAGGGTAAAAGAAATAGATAAGGCAGATGAATGCAGGTTTTTGGGGGTTTTTTTTGGTATTTATTTATTTTCTGAAGTATGAGAATGTGGCCTGTGAAGGGCAGAAAGCAAGCAAGTACAGATCACCCTTTCTGAGTCAGGCACTGTGTCCTGTGTGATTCCTGATAAGAAAGACCAAATCTGGCCTTCAGGGATCTCAAAGTTGAAGAGGACAGTCAGAAGTATAAATAAATTAATAGATTGTGTTAAGTGCAATAATGGGGATTTGCATGGCATTTCATGGGACCGCAGAGAAAGGGAACCACTTCCGCCTGGGATGGCAGGGAGGTGGCCTGTAAGTTAAGCAAAAGGAGAAGTGGAGGGACACCCTATAAAATATTGGACCCCCCACACACACACACCCTCCATCTCTGTGAATAAATTCTCTACCTTCCAACTGGTTTTCAAGGTGTCCATGACTCGTAGATTCATAATAACTAGATTTGCCCAAATGGCCAAAATTCTATTCTGACATGAACTTCCACAGCTGATTTTTTGTTTGTTTTAATGAAGAAGAAATGTGTATCTTTGGAAATCATTTTACAAAATCACACAGTAGAATGCATATAGCAATGGAATTGTGGAAGACAAAGGAGCCTTTGTCCTTTTTTATTAAAATGAATGTCCTCAAGACTGGAATAAAAATGAAGTGGAACCAATTAGAAAAAAATGAATGCACTTAAGAAAAAGCTTAATTGTTGCTGAGAGAATTAGAATCTGATGGCGTAGAAAGAATTTAATTAAATTTCAAAGTAAAATAACTACAGTTTCGCCTTGGTCTTTCTCCTAGAAAATAAAATGTCTCATCGCTTATCACTTATTCCTTGGCCTACAAATTAGTAGTGGTTAAATTGCCTATTATTTTTCTCATTTTGATTGTTATACTGTTGTATGCTGCTGCTGATGGGTTTATTTGTGTGCATGACTGCTAAGATAACCATTAACACTGTGCATGTAGAAATATGGTCTTATATATAACGCTGTTATATGTGGGTGAAAAAAGGGAAGGACCTAACTTAAACTTGACAAATCCAAAATCGCCTCTCCTTCTAGAGTGGAATGCCACTATTTAACAGGAAAACGTTGAGGAAGGAGAACAGTCATTATATATGTGAGTGCTAAATGCTCCTGTAGAAGTAAAAAGTGGCCAAGTGACTAAGTAATTACCCATTAAGAAAGGAGTAGGAGAATTGGGTTAGAAGGGAGAATTGCAAAAAGATGACTCAATGCTTTCACATCAAGGGATGGATCCATGGGACTTCTGACCGAAAGAAGCAATTTTGGGCACAAACCTAAAAGCATTTTTTTCCCTTTTTCCCCACAGCCTCGTCACGTGTTCAATATGCTGAAGAAGTATGTGCGTGCTGAACAGAAAGACAGACAGCACACCCTAAAGCATTTTGAACATGTACGCATGGTGGATCCAAAGAAAGCTGCTCAGATCCGGTCCCAGGTAATCATCTGCAGCGTGGACAGCCCAGTGTCCCTGGGCTTTGAGTTGGATCTTTAGCTATCCTAGAGTAGCTATGGGTGTTATACTTCTATAGCAAGAGATCTTTAATACCTGGTAAATTCCAAAGGCTTATCTTAGAGCAACATGTAGTTTGGCATTTTCTGAGTTATGAAAATAATAAGGAATATAAAAATCTTAAGGGTCTATGGCTACTGATTCTTAAGGAACCATTTAAAACTCTGATGGCTGAAATAAAACAAAAGTTGTATAAACCAAAACCTCTAAAATTGTTTCAACTAAATTGTAACAAGCTATCATAAACGGCATCGCTACTCCAATACTTGGATATAATGTGAACTTAAATGAAACCCCATAATAATATGTTTTATACTCCTTCATTCCCAAAGGTTGAAACTTGAGATCTACCTCTGGAAATCTGAAATTTTACATTTCCTTGAATAGAAAAATATATATGTATACACACACACACACACACATCTCTCTATCTATATATCATGAAATATCTAGTCAAATTAAAATATGTTTCTATCTATTGTTAAATTTGCAAAGAAATATATTTATCATCAGTAGTTATTTTAGGGAGCCTCAATATTAGGAATCAAAGTTGGGCAGAAATGATGTTTTTAATTAGCTTTATACTTTATAGTTACAAGCATACAATATAATGGGAAATCGAAAGCAGCTTCTAATTTAGGGAGGAAAAAAATGAGAGAACAAGAAAAATAACACCGCCCTTTCAGGTTAAAAGTTCCAGCAGCACTTCTGTCAGTTTTATTTTGGAAGTTTGTATCTGTCTGCAGTGCTTGGTGAGGAAAATAACTAGTCCTTACTCCAGAGATGGTTTACCTGGAACTGTCCTCGTTTGACGCAGGTTATGACACACCTCCGTGTGATTTACGAGCGCATGAACCAGTCTCTCTCCCTGCTCTACAATGTACCTGCAGTGGCTGAGGAGATTCAGGATGAAGTTGGTGAGTAGGCTGTTCTTTTGATGCTGTACATATACACATTTTTCTCCTGTAGGGGAAAATCAGAGAAGTGAGTTCATCTGCATCAGGAATCACCAGTGTTTTAACATGTGGAAGGAAAAAGAACAGATGCCCTTTTAAGTGAAACTCTAGAGGAATGGCACTAGGTCTGACCTTGGCAATTGCATCTGTTCTTAACTATCCATACTTATAAGACTCGGGGGACGCAGATTGATGCAAGGTGTACTTGTGTAATAATGGGCCACTTGTTATTGGATTGTACTTGTCAGCAATTTTCTTCTAATTTAGTCAGTCTTATACATTTCACCTTATGATGCTTTGGTACTTTACAGTTTAAGAAAAACAACCCTTCCTTCATCCTTTAATTCTTTATTCCCATAACCTGAGGAGTGGCATGATACCCCATTATACACGGAAGGAGCTCAAACTTAGAATTTAAGTGACTTACTTGCCCATGTCACACATATCTGAAGTAGCACAGCAAAAGTACAAAACTGTGACTTCTGACTGACGTTATTGTTACATTCAGTAAGCCGCAAATTTCTTTGATTCCCCTACCCCGCCTACAGCCATGCACATTCTCTGTTGTTGAAACTTAATTAAATATGTGCCCACTATCTTTCGTTAAACTTTTATTTTGAAATCATCATACACTTAGAAGAAGTTGGAAAAATAATTCAGAGAAGTCCAGTGTACGCATCTCCCACTTAAGCTGTAATCCATGATCAAAACCAGGACATTGACGTTGACATTGTTGCCCAGTATCTTTTGTGTCCCTAGTTTTCCTAATGACAACTTTAATATTTCATATGAGTAAGTTCTCCTTTTTCTCTTTTTCTTGGAAAAGGAATGAAGTGTTGCATAACATAATTCTCTGTAAACCCCCAAATTGCCCATATTTGTTTGCCTGTATCTCACAAAGTACAGTTAACAGTTATGCTAATGAATCTTTGAACATAAAGCTAATGTGTGTGTACTGGAGATATGGTGCATAAACTGTCAGCAGATAAGCAGTATGTTTGTGGTGTATCCCTCCCCATAACGAGCCCCACCCTTCGTTGATTGGGTTGGAGATAGATGTAGGTTATCTGAAATCAGAACACCCGGGATGTTAGAGATGGCTGTACCCGTTATAGGAATTCCTCCTGTCAAGTGCCCGAAACACTGCTTGGTTTGCTTTTTACATTTTCTGCCAGTGTTATCCTACTCCTTCTTTTTTAACTTAACACTGCCTGTGAGTGTTGTTTGTATTCTCAAGTATTAAGCGCGTACCAGGTGATGATGCTCTGTTCCGTACTGTGTATTAATGGATGGAATCAAGTAGACTTTAGGCTGCATGCTTTGAAAAGAAATTTCGTGTGTCTCCCAAGCTTTTATTTTAAAGGGAGAACTAGATGTTGAGCAAGATCTTATGAGCATAGTATAGTCAGTAGCGTTTTTAGTCTACACCATAGATTGAAGACAGGATTTCCAATTAATATTTCCCTCTATTAAAGTTTCTTTAAGAAATGAATATACTTGTTAGATATATTTGTAAGATAGAAATTAAATTAGTAAGGAAACTTTAAAATAATGTATATTAAATAAGTATAAGAAAATTCTCCAAAAAAGTTGTAGAAGGGACGAAATGAAAGAAATCATCATATTCTCAATGAACTGAAATTCAGATCTTCTGGATAAATGTATTTTTGCTTATAGCTGTCTTATCAAGCTTATTTTCATGTGCAACTTCAATTGAGGTCTTGTCAGTAAGACCAAACTATAGAGCCCTTGCAAAGGACTAGAAAGTTGATGACCAATAATTCAGTCTCACCCAGTAATTATGGTTGACTCTTTCTAGTTAAATTATCAGAACGTTTTATTCAGCAAGATCCTACTGAAAACAGTGGCCACTTATGAGTCACACTTTCACAGCACCAGATGGTGATTCAGATATCTTGAATGCTGCAAAATGCCCAAGAATAGGGCAACACAGTAAACTTCAAATCTCAGTGACAGGGAAGATATTCAGAGAATTGGAACCATGGAATTTTCTCTTAAAAAAAAAGGAAAGCTCAGCTATTATGTTGGATTAAGAGCACGTTATTTTTTAAAATATTTCTATCATTCTAAATATACTGGATACCAAATTCTGAAAGATAATCTTTTAAAAATCTTTGCCTCCATTTTTAAATGACTGTTTCCTATAGAAAAAGAAACTTGGGTTAATGAACTTCCGTTAATTAGGCCCGTGCACCATTTGGGCTCCTAACCCCGAAGCTGAAACAGAGAGAACTCACTGGGGAGAATGGCTTTTCTGGGTTGAGCTTAGTTGTCTTCTCTAGTTGCTCTTCATTTGAAGGGACGTTTAAAAATAACTCACTTTCAAAGCAGGAATAGAGATGAAACAAGATTGGCCGTGGGTGCTAATTGTTTAAGCTGTGGTGAGTATATGGGGGTTGTTTGTAGTATTCTCTTTACTTTTGTATATGTTTGAAGTTTTCCATAACAGAAATTGTTTCCCAGCTTACTTTCTAAATAGGATCTTCATGGATTTCTTCCAGTGTATATTTTGTGCATCTTAATAGTTTCTAATTGAATGCTTTGTTATTAGTCTGATTTGCATTTATTTTCCTTTTTGTGTATAATCAGCCCTTAGATTTGGAATCAGTTGGGTGCAAATAAGGATACGAAAAGGATGAGATCAGAAACTACCTACAAATGCATGCCTGTAAAAAGTTTGTGCTTATAAATGTGGGCACCTAGGGTGTGTTTAATGCAGTAAAACATTTGGAGAAAAATAAAATAGTTTTATTAAATAGGAATGACAGGTGGTCTTGAGATGAAGGGTTTTCACCAGTCTGGGGAACTGCCGGTATCTTTAGTGACACAGGTGTATCTGCTTCAGTTAATTTTTGCTCTCGTAAGGGTAGAATTCTCTATTGTGGATGAAAATGAGGAAGAAGCTAGCCACACTAGAAGGAAGGTGAAAGTGGCAATTGGCATCACTGTTGTGAGAACAGTAAAGTGTGACTAACGAGAGCGTGGAATTTATCAGGCCAGTGAATTCCGCCCTGCCCTTTTTCACCCATCGTGCTTTCCTGAGCAATCCCATCTGTTTATGCTACTTTGCTATAATTAACTCCAGTAAATCCCAAATCCGTAGTTTTAATAGCCTATCTACTGAGTTTCCGTGATATATTCCACAGTTTCTGACACATTTCCCAAGCTGCAATCAGTGTGTATAAGGAATTCATGGTGTCCTGCTTGAAATTTACTCATTTTTACAATCGCAGTTATGGGTTCTCCCAGTTGTTCTGTACTTATCCATGCTGCCTTCCTCTCCCTCACCCATGACTTCTTAGCAATCTCAAGTCCTGTATAGTCCGCCTCCTATATTCATGTGGAATCCCTGCTCTGCACGTCCACTGTTTTAGCTCAGAGCCCTATCCCTGTCACATGAGTTTCCCTAGACTCCTGACTAGTCATCCTGCCTCCTGTCTCACCGTGGCCCCCTCCTCCCCAAATTCTTCCTCTTCAGGGCTGCCTGAGTTCCCTGCTGAAATACAAATAACACCTGCACGTGGTTCTTCCCTGCTTGAAAAGTAGCACTTCAATATTCAACTGAAATGTCCATGCTCCTAGAAACCCTTGACTAATTTGCATAGAGAACAAGAGAGAAGAGCTAGCATTTGCGCTACAGCTATGTAGCAAACTAACGGGTATGTTACTGATGATGTTGATGGTCCAAGTTCTTTATGAAAGTTCACCCTTGGGGTTCAGGGCCACCAAATATGTGGCAGTGGTTTAGTGTTAGAGTGACAACTGACATTCATTCTACATGCCACTGATGGAGCCAATCCCTCTGACACTGGGCCTCTGACACACGAAGTGGGGCTTTTTGTAATTCACATGAATGCAACATATGAGCTAGTGACAACACTGGTGAATTCAGTGATACCACCCCCAATTTACAAATGAAGAAACTGAACCGTAGAGAGAGGTCACTAACTTGCCGTTAACAGTAAGCTGAGGAGTGCTAGCCCGGTGGCGCAGCAGTTAAGTTTGCACGTTCGGCTTCAGAGGCCCAGGGTTCCCTGGTTCAGATCCCAGGTGCAGACATGGCACCGCTCGGCAAGCCATTCGGTGGTGGGCGTCCCACATATAAAGTAGAGGAAGATGGGCACGGATGTTAGCTCAGGGCCAGTCTTCCTCAAAAAACAATAAAAAACAAAACAAAAGAAAAAAAGCAGTAAGATGAGGAAAGTGGAATTGAAGCAAAGATCTGCCTGAGTCCAGAATTCATGCTCCCTCTGCAACCCATTCTCCTCTCTCAAGTAGAATTTTCTTCTTCTTAACCTCAGTGTCTAAGGCAGTGTGTATTCACCTCTAATGGCATACTGTACTTGGTATTTAATTATTTGTTTACATGTCCATCAACTCTCTGTCCTCGGAGCTCTTCCAGGCCATGTTGTGATCCTTGTTGTATCTTTGCCATCCGACAGAGGACCTGGTACTTTGTAGGTGGTAGTGATCATAGACAAGGTTGAAACGAATCCTCAGGCTGCAAGCTAGCTGCTCCTTAACTTAGCTTGCTCAGGGCGACTCCTCCATAACCCTGAAGACCTTCCCTGAACTCCTAGCCTAGGGTTGCACAAAAGAAACCTCTTCCTTCTACCCCAGCATTCTCTAAAGCTGTCATTGATCATGCTGACAAAATGGGTACAGTTGGCAAAGCTGTCAAAATAAGGGATAAAGCCAAGTTCTAAGGGCTGTAATTAATACATTTTACACCATTGTCCTGTATCATTGTCATGACACGCCACTGTTTGGTTATCTGCCCAATTCACATACTTTGACATTTGATTTACTAAGTATGTTGTCCATTTTGACTGTCTTGTCAACTACAGTCTGAGGCTATTTATTTCATGTGCTTCACCAATAAGTGTGAATTGTCAAAACTACCCTATTAGTTGTTTTATAAAAGCTTGCCTTTTATTATT